TGTGCCACTAACCACACAACCGACTTGCCTGCGAACTTGCCGCACAAGTGCTGTCGTTATGTTGACAATAACGTGCACCTTTAAACACTTTACGCGACGCGTATCTGCCACACACCGCAAATATTGTATTGCCTATGATTCAACGAATTTTCCACCGTTTTTCGCGCTTCGCATAACCGTAACGCTCGCAAGCTGCCGCACAACTGATTCCAACTGGCCGAACGCGTGTTGCTGATGCACGCTTTTCCACTTTTCCTGCGCCTTCACAACGCTAACTGTAATAGGACGCGCTAGACGCTGGCATGTTTTCATTTACTGATAGCGAAAACTCACCACTTTATTACGAGTATAATACACCACACGCGCCTGCCGACACGAAGTTTGACATTTCACTTCGTGAAATTGGCTGCAAAATGCCATGTTCTGCATTCTGTTTTGCTCGCTTATTTTCGGCTGCACGCCTGCTTTTTCAGGGGTGTTGTTTACCGCTCACACGCGCCTTCACTTGTTTTTATTTTATTTTTGACGTTGCTTATCTATTCACCACACACGCACACAATTGTTTACGCTCTTGTCCTACCGCAATTTTACAAGCATCGATGACAACGGCAAACAAACAAGCGTAGCGACGGCCGGAGTTTCGGCCGAAGCATGTTCCATATGTCCAACTGGTGAATGGCAGGGATTAAAGCAGCAAGGAAATAGTGCGTGGTTGATACTGTGTCGAAAGTTGGGGCGTGTTGGTAGAGTTGCTCGTAAATAAACAGACAAATAATTACTAGGCCAGGTATTGAAGAAGCATTTTGCGGAAGTTCTTTAAATTTCATCGTTGGTTTATTTATAAAGATTCACCCTCTTATCTATGGCTCAGTTTAGATGCATAATATTCTTAGTTCCTAGTTTAATAAATTTGGTCATTTGCACAGCTTGCAGCAAGATCTCAGAAGACTGACGTGCTTCCACAGCTAGAAGGAAAATGAGCAGCAGTTTGATCAATTTCAGGTCCACCGCTGACAAAAACATGCTTCAATTATTAAAATCTCGTCTTATGCATAACATTTGTGTTTATACAATTAAACATTGAATTGAATATTATACATGGGCTCGTCCATTATGTGTCTCCAAACAGCACAATTCTACCACTTTGTGCTAAGCTCTTTTCACAGGAACTCGCAACTGACTAACTGAAAATGTGCATATTTTCTTGTTGAAACGTAGGTCTTGCGAAGTATTTTGATTTGCAATTTGGATTCCGAAAATCTCATGTCATTCTAAAGACTTTGAACTTTGCGTCTTTAGTTCAAATAGATATATTTTATAAAACCTGCTAGAGTTCGTAGCAATCGCCTTCAGTTCCCTTGGTTGTTTTGGCAGAAGCTCGAGTGTGTTGAATAAAATTGAGAAGCGGAATAGTAAATTTTAAAGCAAACGACTGAAATGGAAGGCACTTACCAACGACTTCGTATAGGTTACTTAACAAGGGTGGGTCATTGCCAAGACAACTTAGTTGGGTCGGATAAGAAAAAACTTGAAAACAGTCACTTCTAAGCTACTATTTATGGCTGTGACAGAATTACAGTAGCTTGGAAAATCTACATAAAAGACGCTTTCATCTCACTAGATCTTTTGCGAAGCTTCTCCCACAATTTTGTTTCCAATTTGAAAACATATGCGGACGAAGTGAAGGATTTTACGTAGACTTTTTCGTAGACTTAAGACTAAAGAATTCGTGTTGCGACATCGAAGAAAAAATATCTCTGCTTGTTTTTGAAACTACGGCTTGTCTAGTAGTAGCCATCCACTCAGCATACCGAGCTACTTTTACATCCTTTGCTTTCTATCGCCTTAGTATTACATATTGCCTTTCGTATCACCCTTAGCGGGAGGCACGAAGCGCTGGTCTGCCTTTGCAGCACTGTTTTAACTGCCACAATTCACCTCAGCCCAGCCGTCACGGCACTTAACCCACACAATTGTGCAGCTAGTGACCGCCGACGTCAGCTAAGTTTCTGCGTCTGCGTCATTTGTTGTTTGTTTGCCGAAACAGCGGAACGACGTGAGCAAAACAAAATAGGCAGCCGGCTTTTCGAGGGCCCACCACTTGTACATATATCTACAGTTCAGCTTGTTTTTATTGCCGTGGCGTGTTTTTTGTGTCTTGTTTTTTCTTTGTGCAGATACTTTTGCTGCGTCACACAGCTGTGTGTGGTCTGCATTTTGGCTTCTTCAGCGTCCGCCACCCTAATCCACTCATCCACGTCTCATTAAATATAACTTTCAGTTTAACGCTTAAGCATATCGCTAGTCTGCTGCCATTTAAAGTAAGAAGTTGGCAATAACAATCAGTTCTTAGCGAAATCGCTTACATACAGCCACACGCCTGGCATATACCAAGCTCAGCTAGCCATAAACTTGTTAAACCATAAGTTCATAAGCAGCCAAGTGCATACTGCTAAGCTTGTTTGAGTGGACGTGCGTTTCACGGCCGTGCGCTGAGGCGTAGAAGTGTGAAATTACAAAATTTGTGAATTACAAGCTTTCGTGGCTGGCGACAACGCCTGAAGTGGCTCGCCTTGAGTGTGCTTGGCTAGATCTACAAGCGTATACATAGTATCTTTTCAATATTAAGCATTTCTAATGCGATTAAAAACTTTGTATCTGTCACGCTCCGCAGCTACTAGACCAAACCACATATTGCTGTTGTTGTTGAAGATACCGACTGTTAGGCTCGTTGGCTGCGTAGAAGCTCGCATACTGCGCTGGCGAAAAACATAAAGCCACCGCATGCTCCGACCTGCTTGACCGGCTTTGCTTAGCGGCGTCCAGCTTAACGCGCAATGTCTTCCATCTCTATTCCATACTCGCTTCACAGTCCTCGTAGACAATCTGTGCGCTTGACTGCTTTGGCGCCACACTGATAACAAACCGCCAAACCACAATTGCCTTTGAGGCGGCATCCTAGTCGTTGCCGTCGCCAAATCTAACTGCTTTGCTACACTTGTTGTCGCTCGCTTTGTCAAGTGCGCTCTGGTGCTTTCTCGCTTTACTAAATTGTCCACCCGTCTTGCCTTACTGGCCACCACAAGCACCGGCGACGTCGCGCCACATTTGCTGCTACACATCGTTGGCTCAGTCACAGCGACTTTATTAAGATTTACGACTGCTTTCGCAATTTCACTCCAAATGACCGGGCGCACTATGCGCAGCAACTATGCGTGGCATGTGAGGTTATGTGCGTTTCCATTGAAAGTTTTTTTGGTGTCTTCTATTCGTATTCATCTAATCGCACGCATGAGAGATAATGGTGTCAAGAGGAAAGACAAATTGTTTTGTAGCTTCAAGTGTGTGATGAGGTTTCTATACGGAATGAGACAGGTGTGTGTCGTATTAGCTGAAAATCGCTAAATTGATGCGCTTTGCTAAGTATTAGGCTATTTGCAGAGCTACGAGTGGTACGCGAAAATCCCCATTAAAAAACTCTTTTGTAATCGAGTTAGTAGAAGAGTTATACTGCCTCGAATTAGTTCCGCAAAGTACCTTATATATCTTTAATGAATACTTATTTATTTTCTGCTGTCAAGATGACCTACTACCTGGTACAATTAAAGGTCTTGGCAGGCTAATTTTAGTAATCTTTTGACCATAAGACGGTTTAATGAGCGCTGTGAGCTAATTTACCAATGATACTTAGAAACTTCGTCAAATCAAGATTTACTTACTTGTTGCTTTTATAAAAGTTAACCGCTTACCAGCACTGCCAATCAAGATGGTTTCTTCATTGAATATTCACGACTTTTTTGATGCGTTCGTGGCAGGATAAATTGGTTACCATGGCTAGAAGAACAAGTTGTGGACTAAAGTGGCGATGGATTCGAGAATTTGACAAACAAAAAAATTGGTACTTGATGAAACATCGTAAAAAGTGGTTTTGATTTTTTTAATACCGGTTAAAAAAGTGGTAGGATTGATCTGAAGAGAATAACTAAGTCTTAGTTAATAGACGCAGAATGCTAGAGAAAAAAATGTTTGTAAAAAAAAAATGCCGATAACATACTAAAGAATTTTTACTTTTATTTTCGCTCAGAACGGGACATCGGTGAACCTATGAAGTATATACTTATATAAATGATCAACTGGACGAGCTAAATCCATTTAGTCGTGGCCGTCTGTTTGTCTATCTGTCTGTATATACGCAAACTTGTACCTCACTTTTTGAGATATCGATCTGCAATTTTGCACATGCACTTTACTCCTCAAGAGGCTACTCACTTGGCGGAACGGCCGATATCAGACCACTATAGCATATAGCTGCCATACAAACTGAACAATCGAAATCAACTTCTTGTATGAAAAACTTTTTCATTTGACGAAATATCTTCACGAAATTTGGCATGAATTATTGTCCAAAGCAACGCTACAATATCCAAAGAAATTATTCAGATCGTATCTTTATAGCATATAGCTGCCATATAAACTAACCGATCAAAATCAAATTCGTTTATGGAAAGCTTTTGCATTTGACAAGATATCTTCAATTCTTGTTATCGCATTGCTTTTTTAAATTTTTTCTTCATAATACTTTATTTATACATTTGCCAGAAACACTGCGCACTTGGCTTTTAATACTTTTTGCTTCGTAAAAAATAACAACTTCCATATTTTTTTTCATTGCGAATAGCTTTCTTGTTTGTGCCATTCCATTACCATCATATATGGTCAATATCACTTTTTATGGAATGCCATACAACTTGTCCTCGCCTAAACGGCAACGTCAATTGCCACTGTCACCAGTTTCACTGCGGCATGCAACATTTGTTGCAAACGCATACAAGCAGGCCCCTAAGCGCCGCCTGCTCTCCCCTGACAATTGCTATGCATATGATTTTTTTTCTGTTTTCACTTTTCTCACATTTGCTATTGCAGTAAAAACCGTTAGTCGCCGAGCTGCGCTGTTGCAATTTTAAAAAATAAAAAAAATAAATAAAAAATGTGCGACATACAGGATTTGCTGCTTTTCACACTTTTGCTCGGCATTATTTTATTTTATTAAAGTTTTTCAGTTACATTTGCTATTTTTATTTTAAAATTTGTATCCAAAATTTTTTTGCATTTTTTTATATTTTTTTTAACTTTAACTTCTCGCCTTAAGTCTTATAAACGCCACATGTGCTTGTCCATACATGTTTGTTTTTTTTTTGCACAGCAGGTGTGCAGCTTGAAATTGCCACTGCCTGACAGCTGCTGTCCACTCAGCGCTTTGTCTTGTGCGCTTAACGCTTCCAGCATTGTTGGCTGTCAGCGCATAGTTTTTGCCGTTCTTGTTGTTTTACTGGCATTTGTTACATTCTTGTGTGTTCTTTTTTTGTTATTTTTTTCTTTTTTTTTTTTCTCCTGCTCACTGTCGTGCCCAATTCAATTTCAATCGCCAAGTCAAGCCGCTTTGACTCGGCCGCCACAACGCTCAGCTCTCAGCTGACTTTGCTTGGACTCATTGAACGCTTTCCATATTGTTGTATTTTTCGCACTTTTTTGTTGGGTCTCTAAGAATTTATCACCTTTTCATATCTCTCTCGCATCTGTTGTCCTTCTGCATTTCTCTTTCTCTGCTTTATTGAGCACTTAAAATGTCTGTGTAGCTGCTTTTATTATTACTATTACTTTTGCAGTCTGATTGATGACATTTTCCTTCTTGCGCTGCTCTCAGCGGCTAATGCGGATGGCTGCTGTCCAACGGTTATTTTTGCTATATTTTTTTTTTTGTTTATTTTTTTATACCTTTTGTTTACAGTTTAGACGTCGCACTTGTCTACTTGCACCTTTTGCAAATGAATTTTGTTTTTGTTGAGCTAACAGTGTTGCATTTTAAGTAAACAAATTATTACAAAAATTAATGAAAAATATTTCAGGGTTTTTTCAGCAAGAGCTGAAAATATTTTAATATATAATATATACAACATATATCCGCTGGACAGCAGGGTTGATCAAATATGCTTGATATAGTATCAAATGATGTTTAAGTAGAACAGTTACTATTGTTTCTTTGTATCCCGAAAGCCGAAAGCTGCGCTACTATCGTATTCTAGACTTCCTTGGCAGCGCATCGGCTGATAAATTCTCGGTAATGGTCGCAACTTCCGGTGATCACAATACATGATACATCTGCTAGAAAAAAGACAAATCAAATTTGATAGATGTGAAGGGGAAGAGAGAGAAAGCGCCCTTACTCAAAACATACTCTGTTCTAATTTTATTCAAAGAAAAATATAAGGTAAATTATACCTTTTCACTGTGATGTGATATGATCTGAGTACTTCCAGGTGATCTTGCGGACAGCTTGCTCTATTTAAGTAATACAGGAGCTTGAAGGCTATCTTGCAGGCAGCTAATTATATAAAAGTAAATCAGGAGCCCCATCTGGCCAGATCATGAGACAATCTTTAATAAATCTATATGAGTAAAGCAGGATCTCTATTTGGCCAGTGCTTCAGTGACTGTCAGTGCTTGAAATTATGTGTTCTAAGCATCTTGAGGTGATCTTGTAGAAATATAGCCATGTAGTGTATAGCTAGGTCTATATAAAGAGCGCAGGTACCGTGCTTATTCTACAGGCGACTGTTTCAGCTCTGTGGTTGGGTTATAACACATCTTTTATTCTTTTTTTTACATTTCTAAATTCTAATAGTTTTTACCCTCTACCAAAAAGCCCTTAATTATACTTTTTAATAAATATTTTGTCTTCCTGTTACGAACAGCCTCATAAAAATTCAAAGAAAAATCAAAATTTTTTGCATGAGAAATACTTCACATTTTCAAAACAAAAGAAAACGCCGCTTGTCAAATATTCAGAAGACATAAGTGACTAATAAAAGTTTTTCGCTATGCAAATAATTTTTCTAACTGGAAGTGCTGGGATTGAGAGGCAATCAATAAAGATGTAAATTGAAAGAAAAACAAATTCTGAGTCTTATCGGAAAATTGGTTGGCAGCAAACAATTCAAGGTAAAATAACGGCGAAAAAGTGAAATGAAGAAATCAGCGAGAAGTATACAGTGGAGCTCGCTGACAGTGAGCTGAAAGCTAGTCAATACTTCCATATTAAACTTGTCTGGATGCCCAGCCTGGATCGAATGGAAAGCCAGAGTGGAGCGCAAAATCTCCATGGAACTACCAGCTTTTAGCAAGGTTCACATGGCCGCAATGATAGGCGTTTTGACTGGATACTGTCCGCTTGGCACTCACGCGGTGAATCTAAAGATGGTGGAGCACGCAACTTCCCAAAGTTGCAGAAAAAAAGATGAGGTAAAAACATCTAGACACTTTCTCCTTCAATGTATGGTGAACTGGCTGGAGTAAATATTAGCCTGCTCAATAAATGTGTGGCTGGTTCTAGGCGCTTTGTAGATATGCGACGGTCTTTCTAATCTAACTTAAGCTACAAAAATTAAAAATTATTATATAAAAAAAATGTAAAATTTTTTTTTTAAAGTGAGTCAAAACTTAACAAATAATGGTCGAAATCTAACAATATTTTTTCGAATCTCAGTTACCAAATATGAGCAACTCAGTATCTTCGCTGGCTGGCGTCCATATTGATCCCAAACTTTGTTTTGCAAAAGTTAAGCCTTACCATTACTCTTTTGAAAGCAGCCACAAGCCGCCTAATTGTACTACACCTACCACATGCGGCATTCACTTAGTCTGCGCCACTTATCACTTCACCCGATATCTCTTACACGCCATTAGCTGGACCGCACTGGTAGTAAAAACGGTTTAACGAGTGTGCGCTTCAACTGCTGCCGTTTTTACCGCTCATTAAATACAAATTACGGCGCAACTGCCATTTGTGCAACAAAACTTAGATAACTGTAGCAAATGTACTATAAATACGAATTCACTTACAAGCTTGTTTATTACACTCTATAACCCGCCACTTTTTCACTTTTCTTGCAAATGCTCATTTTAATATTCTTTTTTGATTCCGTTTTTGTTTGCAGGCTGTTTATCACACCGTTCTTGTACGACAAATGCAATTAAAAGTGAGTCGAAAATGCAATAAGTCAAGCAAAGTTTTGCACGACACAAGGCACTTGGCACTTGGCGCACGACGGCAAAATATGTGTGTAACGTAAGCACACAGAAGACACATTGCGAAGACTTGTAAGGAGCAAAAGGTGATTATGAGTACCGAAGCAGTGGAAGCAGATTCGAAGCAGAAACTGACTAATTTGATAAAAAACTACTTCATTAACTGTACAACTGACAGTAACGACATAAAGTGTTTTAAGTTGATTTATGTGACTACGTGTATGTATTGGTGCAGTCGAAGGGTAATGCGTGCAGCGAGAAAGTGTTTATGGATGCCGAGAGAGGAAGGCATGTGAGTAAATGCGTGCTTGCTTTTATATTATAAAATAGTTTAGTTTCAGCATTTGTGCCTCAGAAGTATGTTTCTATTATTTTTCTTTATTTTTATTTATAACTGATGAAGTTCAGAATATTTTAAGACTTAAGTCATTTGAGTGAGATTTGATTTAAGTCAAGTGTGCTTAAGATACGCCATGCCCACCTAACTTCATATTAGAGAACTCTCAGTGTTCATTGACCCCAATTTTATTATTATTTTGTAGCATCAAAGCCATCAAGAAGAAGGAAAGTAGTTGCAAAAAGGTGGTTGTCAATTTGGTATGGCTTCAATACTTTTTTGGAGACCCTTCTCACTCGGACATAGCTCAGTGGGGCCAAAATGACACAAGTAAAATCGCTAAATTTAGTTATAGACTCTAGACAAAGCCTTTTTAGTTTAAGAATAAATTCCATCTTTTTTATGGAAATGGCTAGTTTCGACTTTAAAACTCAGTATTCATTAAAGCTAGAAATAGCTGAGAAACTTATTGTGTGACGCCTGGAACTTTCCTTTACATACTTGTAGTAATTGAACGTCATCTGGACTATTGTATTTGCATTCCTTTGAAATCGACAGACCATAAAAAACAGAGCATAACCCAAACGTGGCGACACATTCTCAATAAGTTCTCTTACAATATTGATCTTCCGAAATTCCAACCAATATTTTGTAAATTTTTATCGAAGATAAGACATGCAGCCTCTCTTCTATCCTACTAGCACTATAAAACTAGTACACTTAAGAATACTTCAAAACCGTCGTCTTAAAGAGAATACCAAATTTTTGGTAACTTTCATAACTATTTTTATTACTTTTCGTGCTCGCCTTCAACGCCTTATCTTCTTCGGCCGTTAACACGCTGCGCCGCTTGTCCGCAAACAACTATCCACACGTCCTTCATGGCCTTCAGTGCACACACAAGTGAATCCGTTGTACGTGACCGGCAGTGATGAGGCCATTTGGCCTCTAATACACAGTCTCAATACTCGGAAAAAAGCAAGAAGAAACTAAAAAAGCTGAGTATTGCTGTCACTTGAAGTGTTGATGTGCTGGGACCGATATCTCACCAACCGTAGAAGCAGCAGCGGCGCCGGCAGCCCAACGCGCCGGACACGTTTGAATGCGAAAATGAGAATTTGTCTGGCACAGCTGCTGTTGCAACTCAACACGAAAAGTTGTATGCCCAGCGGAGTACGAGTCAGCTGCTGGTCAAATAGAGAAGGCAAACAGCCTAAACAGGGAATGTGAGGAGCGATGTGAAAAGTTTTGATGTTCGAAGATGAGTGGCGGAGTGGCATGTCGAGAGGAAACATTACACGGACAGAGCGTGGACTTTTGTATTTGCAACAGAGGCCAAAGCGCTTTCCGACTTTTATGAATGTTCAAAAGTAAAACGTCAGAGAGAGAGAGAGAGAGAGAGAGTGCAGAGGTAAAGCTACTGGAAAAATAACGAATAAAGTAAGCGTTTGGTAACCAATGAGTGTGCCGATTAGGTATTGAAGTTCCGCCGAGCTTCGATCTAACTTGGCGCCGCAGAGATTGGAGTAGCAATTATAGCTCTTTATAACCACAGCTTTGTGTCGATAATTCAGAACCTGTAAACAGCCTGTTAAGCTAAATATTCACGAGAACAGGGAAGCGTAGGACAACGGTTTCGTCTTCGAATATATCATGACAAATAGTGAAGAAAGTTTGCTTGAAAGTTTGGAGTTACCCATTCTGGCATTAGGTATTTATTTCTGTTGCGATCTCATTTTAGTGGAAATTTTATTGCGAGACTGATTCTTAGGGTAGTTCCAACAGTTTTTGTCATTACCACCGATCTTAATGTTGTTTCCGAAGAATTTTCGTCTCTTCAGCTCGTCAGGATTGAAGCTGAAGTTTTTAAACATTTTCAACAAACTGAGTGATTCCTACTTGGATATTTGAAACCGCACGGGTCGGTCTTAAGATACCCATTTGCATTGAAATGTCATGTACAGGCTCTTTCGATGGATTGCGGACAGTTGTTCCAACGGAAAGCCAAAGTTTATACCCGATATCTTGTTTTGTGGTTTACTCTAAGAAATAAACACTTCAGAAACATTAGGTGCGATTTTGTCCTGGGGTTAAAGCACAAATAAAGGGAAATACAAGAAAGATCGAGAAAACAAAATCACACGAAACTAATCAAAGTGCAATAAAGCTGACGAGAGCAAAGAAGAAAGCTGTTAACAAATCTCGTTGTAAACTCGTTTTTTGTGTGAAATTTATGTGCCGACAGAGCTATTTTAAGACTTTTAAGACGACAGGAACACACTCAGTGGCGTCTGCACCGAAGCGGCGGGTAACGAAACTATTGTGCTTTTACAGTTATATGGAAGTGCGATTTTTGCACTTTCACTCACGTCGCTGGCGTGGAAATTGTTTTGTCGTCGCCGGTACTCGTCGCTTGGTAACTGGTTGATGCAATTAATTTCGTTTGTTGCCTACATTTAGGCGCCTAGCAACGCCATGAAAGACCAAAAGCACTCTGATTTGCCGAAAATCGCGCACAGATTTGCTCCAAATCGACGCGCTTGTTGCGCCGCTAACTGTGTGAATTTATTAGTGGCATTTATTGCTGTTGTTGTTATTTACCGAATTTATGCGTTGTTGTTGCATTTTGGTTTTTGTTCTTTTCTGTCTGATTTCGCTTTTGTTTATGCGTTGGCGTATGCGGGCAATTAATTTTAACGCTACATAACTTCGGTAGCCATAGCCAACGAAAAGTGCAAGGCTGCCAGCTGCAATTGTACCGAAATGCAACTCTGTACTCAACATATGCATTGCATACGTTAAGTTGCAATGCGTTTTGATTGTAAAATTGTGCGTGTGGACAAATACTCCATCTCGAAATAGTAAAAGATTTGAGATCTCAGATTTCGAAAATTTAAGGTTCCGAATCCGGAATATTTAATGACGATTAGGTAGGACTTAAAATTTAAGTTTTATTTGTCGTAATTAATAGTACTGACGGATTTCGGGATTTTCAAACAACTCTCTCGGGATACCGAATATATTTTGAGGTTTTCGAGATTAAAAGTTTCGGGATCTTGAATATTTATTGTAGACTACAGATTTTGGGGTGTAAAAACAACTAAAATATTATGGAGTCCCAAAAACATTTTGAGATTTTCCAAATTATAAGTTTCGGGATCTCGAATTTTTAATGAAGACTAAGTCTAGAATTTGAATATTTTTGTAATTAAAGGACTGATTTCGGGATTCTGAAGCATATATTTCGGGATCCCGAAAATTTTCAAGAAATCTAGATAAATAATTTAAGAAAGACCTTAGTGGACACAAAAGCCGCAACAAAATTTTACGTAAATGTGTATGTGCCTCACTCCCTGTGAAACGAAGTGTAAATTTAAATTACTTTAGTACCGTGGGTTATGCTGTGGTTACTGTTGGTCTGTTGTTGGCCGAGTTTGGAAAAATTTTAATTGGTTGCAAAAAAATGGGTATTAATTGTAGTTGTTACACTTGTTGTGTTAAAATTTTAACAAAATACTTTTGCTCTCCAACTGCGCAGATCACGCTCAGCTGCTTCCATCCACCTCCACTTACCACACCTCTTCGTCTTTTCGCCGCCTCGAGCACTCTGCTCTCAGACCCAGACTCACACACGCTGCCATCACCACCAGCCGTGTCAATAGCACTCATAAGAATCCTTCGCCGACAATCCACAGCCACTTGTCGACTTGGTGGCTTCGTCAAGCGCTGCTTCTTCTTCGACTTCTTCGACAGCTTAACGGTCAGCTGCTTCCAAAAGTGGTCAACAGCGAGATTTCAATGAAAATTTTTAATTTTTTGCTGTTGCAGTTGCTGTTTCTATTTTTCAGCAAGTTTACGAATTCCCAAATTGGCCAGCATCATAGTGGTCAAAGTGGCCGAAGTGACTGAAAAGCGCAAGAGAAGTGTAGTTGAGTTGAGCTTCTTGTTATGGCTGCTTGTGGCGTCAGCGAAGCGTTTTAACCATCAAGCGCAACGTCATCTTCACTGGCGTCTGTGGCAAATTAATGAAGGCAACAAGGGTCACTTAAAAGGCGCACGCCTCGGTAGTTCCACAGCTGCACAGTGGGCACTTTCGACGAATAGTGGTCGATTGAAAAATATGAAAGAAATATGCTTGGACCTTCTCCAATTTGATATGCAAAAAAATTTAATTCACTCTAAAAAAAATTGTTGAGACCCGATCAGCGTCAGAACTCAACACTTTTCTGAATTCGAAAGCCGCTTTAGGTGATTCGAAATTTTGGTGCCGTTGAAGTTCTGTGAATGAGTTACCGATACCAAAGAAACTGTAATGGTTTCGTAAAAATACGCTAAACAGTACAGTCAGAATAAGGAGTGAAGATGGATTGGATGATCTTTAAAAGAGAAAAATCGTTGTCGCGTGATTTCTTCAATTTAATCTTAGAGATAAGGTATATTGAGCGTCTGAACTAAAATGCTCAGCACCAATTTTTTATAAAAACCTGTGGCGACATAACTAATTCAAGGTACCAGGCGTTGATTTAGCGTCCTATGGATTGGGCAAATAAGCGAGAAGATTAATAAATAGTTTCAATTATTCTTGGAAGCATAAATTTGGAATTACTATGCCTGATTAGACTCTAAAAATTATTCGGAAGTAAAGCATACGTCCACAGGAAGTAAAACACACTATTACACTTCCACTTCCTAAAGTGTTCGTGAGAACCGCGCTGGGATAGACTTTTTATCTGTTATATATGTATATATAAATTTTGTATATGCTTTTTTATTTTTTCTTTTATAATTTTATTCTTTTTTTTTAAATTTTTTTTATCAAATTGTTATTTAAAAATTGTTTTTATTGTACTCTTATTATGATATATAAAAAAATGTATATATTTAATTTTTTTTTAACATTTTCAAATTTTATTTTTAAATATTTTTAAATTATTAATTTTTATATAATATTTTTTTTTTATTGATTTTCTCTCACAATTTCACTATTTTTAAAAAAGTTTGAAAAAAAAATTCATTCAAAATTTTGTGAAAGCAGCCCACTGTGCGCCTGTAACTTTTATTTTTATTACATTTAAGCTCAAACTTTTGAAACTGTAATTCTGAAGCCAAGCAAATAATAATATTGTATTTCTTCTTTTATGCGCTTAAGAACCGCGGTGGCCAACCCAACGCATTCTTACTCCTTATTTAAGCTTACCACAGTAAAATAAAAACAAGAACAACAAAAAACTCAGTATAAATTTTTAAATTTTTCAATGCATACTAATATGATAAATACGAGTAAAAACTTTAATTTTCTTTTTACTTTTATTTTTAGTATTTTCCTCGCAAGACTGACTCACCTAATTATTGTATTAATGCTGGTCAAAGATTTAGCAGACAAAAATAAATATGTGTACATATCTGTATGTATATACATATGTATGTATACTATATGGATGAGATGATGATGATTACATTTCTTGTGAACAAACTTTCAACCAACAATTGCGAGAATTGAAGACCCAAAATGTTTTAACAACATAATTTTTTCTTTTATTTTAAAATTCTTTACATAATCTAAGTGTAAATAACTACATTTTTGTTTTTATTTATTTATTTAATAAAAATATTTTTAAAATCAGGTTTCTAATTATTACAAAAATGTTTTTCTTCAATCCCATAAATGCACCTGCACTTCCGTCAAAGACGCCTAAAAGCAAGCAACACCATTTCACTCATAATGTAACTCATATTCGTGCACCGGAGCAGAGAATGTTAATAAATTGAAATTTGAATTAATTAAAATTCTCTGCTATTTTTGTACAGACTGTAATGTTACCTTACAGTTGTATGTTGCTGGTAGTGTTAATGCTATGGAAAGTGCATTAAAGAAGGAATTAGAAAATTTTGCGTAGTTTCGTTATTTTTTAATATTTTTTCTTGAATTTTTTTCAAATTTTTTTTTGCAGAAAATAACAAGAATTGTTAGAATGAAAAAATTATTGAAATTAAATAAATTATATTTTTTTAAACGGAAATTGTAATCGTAAATATATTTTTGATATCTCTTTGTAATAAAAATATTTATGAAATAATTTATATTTTATTGTTTAGGTTATTCTATATTATTTCTAATTTGGTTTTAAATTACTATACAGCTATACATATAGAGAAAGCAGTTGATCCTTAGTTTTTTTTCTTCTACTTGCTAAAGCGTTTTCATTTTTTGTGTATATCATATTTTTCTTTGAATCTTGTGATTTTGAATTTAAATTTAAATGTATAAAAAATTATTTAGTTTTTTAAAACAAAATATATCTTAAAAAATGATGTTTCTTGTGTGTTCTTTTAAAAAATTACCAATAATTTTATTTTATTTTTTTTTAAATATTTTCAAGAAACATTATTTTTTAATATTTTATCAAAACAAAGTTTCAATGCATTGTTTTTTTCATTCTTTATTAAACTCTATTCCTAATAAAAATTATGCTTTACATGGTTACTTTTTCATTAAAAAAAGTGCTAAGAATTCAAATTAAAATTGTTTCATAAAAAATTACTTTTTTTAAGGTGTGTTACTACTTTATTCAAAAAAATTGTCATAAATACTTTGAATTTGTTTTTTGGCTATTTTTGTTAAAAAAAAATTTACTTTCGTTTTGTATAAAACCAATTTTTTTCTAAATCGCTTTCTTTTAGTAGTCATTAATAAAAAATATTAATTGTTTTTTAAGTATTTTTGTTAAAATTATCATACTTTTTTTGTTGTAAATTAAGTATTGTTTAAAACTAAAGTAAATTTTAATTTGAGTTTTTTATAACATACCTACTTGTATGTATATGTATGTATATTAAAATAGTACAAAAAGAGTTTAAAACAAAATATTGAATTTTTTTTAATCTCTTCATCTTCACAATTAGGGTGATGCTGTTGACTGCTCTAAATGTCTCTATGTGCTTACATATATTGTACATAGTTGTTGTAGCTACATATAATATATCTCCAGCAGGCTTTCAGTTCGTATTAATATGCTTCTGCTCGCTGCCAGTTCCGACCATGTGCATTATCGCAGCGCCAACTCCCGACGCGTCGCCCTGCCAAATGAAGTGCACGAAATGGTTTTCTCCGCGGCGCCGCGTCAACGCAACAGCAAAGGCAAGGCTATGGCGATGACGAAGGCAAATGTGTCCAAACGGCATCGTTATCCAACTTCTAATGGAGTCTGGCGAACGTTGTTTGGCCGAGCCAACAGTTAACAATCGTATAAACCTGCAAACATATGTAAGTGTATTAGTTAAAACATAATGCAGTGCAGCAGAAGTGGGCAGAGAGCGAGAGAGTGTGGCCCCACAGCAGCATTCGAGCAAGTACCGGGCCACATGAAGCGAAACGTAATGAACCACACCGGCAACCAAGCGGCCAAACAGTCAGGCAAGTTGGTGAGCCAAATGCGCCACTGAGGCTGTCACTGCGCCACAAGCGCCAACACACGAATACACACACAGACAAACTAGCAAATTTCAAAAAGGATATGCATATATGCCATTTTACGGTAAACGAGCTACAAAATTTATTATCTTCGAACTGTTGCTAACGCGCAGCCAAGGTGGCATACAGGCAACGCGCTGGACAGCTGCTGAAATGCATTGCGCCATAGAGCTGTCCACAAAGTGTGGCGTGTGGCGTGTGTCTGTGCTTGCTGCAAAGACTTTGCTGCTCGGCCGTCACATTGTGCTCTGGGCGGAAGTGTAGGTGCGAGGTGCATGTCACATGCTTGAGTGCGGCAAAAAGCAGACGAAAAACAGGAAAGAATGCTGAGAAATAGCATGTGTGGCCACCTGGCTGGGACACATGGCAATGTACAAGCGGCTTGGCAAATGCAAACGAAAAATCTCTCCAATGGCAAAGATAGACTAGAGATAAATTTATGGTCTCAGCTGGCAGGTTTTATTAGAAAACATTGAATGTCTGTCTGGTTATTGCCACTATTTTCGGCAGACTGTTTTGTGCGCCGCTGAAATTGCCATTAGCTTGTGCATAAATATCTAATTTTTATTCTCGAAAATACGCTCGTACACATATGTATTGGATATGAGGCACACTAACTTGAAGTGCCGTTGAATATTTGAAGAAGCCAAACATATTTTTCTTTGCAGCTCGAGTTTTTTAAAAAGTGTTCCACAAAACGATTTTCCATAGTTTTTACGAAGCAAAATCGACTTTTTGGTGATTTAGAATTTAACTAATGAATATAACTTAAATAACCAGTGAAATTTTAATTATTAAAAATAACTTTATATAGCATTTTCATAGCATTCTAAAATTAACTATATCTTAAATGTAAGCCAAAACTATACGAAAGTGTTTCGCAAGTTCAGAACAACGTCTTTGTAACACTGTACGGTTACAATACCAAAATTTCCTGAAAAAAGTTTAAACATACGATCCATAAAAATATACAAAATTTATAAAGCGCACTTACTAAAAATTTCAAAAAGTGTTTCACAAGTTCATTAAAAATTTATATGGATACTTACAATACTATAAAGGAACTTTAAAAACAAAATACAACTAGATTATTATAAGCCATTTAACATCTTAAAAAATTAACTGAAAAAATACCACTACAAGGCTAAGAGTGTTTCAAAAGTTCAACTCAATTTTATAACGATCTTGTCTGAGATAAGTGTAGACTTTTTTTTTTGCTTGAAAACGTCAAAAAGTATATTAAATGTTATAAATAATGTAACTACTGGATCATAACAGCTTTACTTGCACCAAAAGTAAAAGCATGACCAATACACAAAATTTTAATAAGTGTTTCACAAGTTCAATAGCATTTAAAATCGAAATTATCTCAAAAAATGCAATTCTAAAAATGGTTACATAAAATGTTAGAAAAAAGGCCAATAGGTTATAACGATCTGTTTTATTTATCTTTATAGCGTTCTATTTAGAAAAAATACTTCGCTCTAAAAATTTCAAAATGTGTTCCATAAGTTCAATAACGCTTTGTTCAAATAATAGTGCCACTATATAGGAAATGCAAAAACCAAATATTACTACAATATTGCGAGATACTAAACTTATATAAGAATTAGCTTAAAACCCACAACATAAGCAAAAACTGTTCCACAAGTTCAATAGCATTTAAAACGAGAATTGTTTTATAAAAGTGCGAATATTTTGTTAAAAATAGTTAAATAGAATATTACAACACTATCTTGCATAAATCTGTGCAAAAAAATACTGTCCAATATAGCATGAAGCAAAAGTTTAGAGAATTGTGTCAAAATTTTAAATATATCAGCCAACAGCACCAGCGTGCTACGCCTGACAGCTTAATAGAAATGCAGCATTCAGGCGAAGATAAGCTGGATATCTCTGAAAGGAAAGCGAAAATCAACTTTCCACAAATTTACATTTTTGCAGACAAATTTGCCAAGAATTTTTATGGCACAAATTTCAATAAATTTGTCAGCATTTTCGGGGGCAATGAAGCGCGGAAGCGATTTTGTGAGACTCTTCCTTACGCATTTTTATCTCTATTTTTTCATAAGTAGCAAATTCTCTGCTATGTTATATTTGTAAGTGTTTCCACAACGCACACTCACTTTCGGTTTCTGGCTGGCGCTGGCACACTTCTGATAATGCGATTAGTTTTCCGGTCAATATTGTTTGTCTGACAGCTTTACAGTGATAATTTACAGGCTTAACGAATGCACGAGTTAAGAAAAGGAGATGAGAAATTGTTCCAGGAGAAGTTTGTGGTAAATGTGTGTAATAAGGTGGACAAAAGTTGAGTTGAGGACAATTAGATGAAATTCAAAGAGAGAAAGAGAGAGCAGAGATAGAAACATGTCTACAAATTCATCTAAATATTCAGCCAAAATACAAATCTTGGATTGGAAGTTGCGATAGCGCTTATACGAATGTTTTAAATATAAGGAGAAGTTTTCGAAAGGAAATAAAATTTATTGATGTGACTGTGAGCTTTTAAAGCTTTCGTGAAGCACATATACATTTTTGAAATTATGTTTTAGTGCATACTAAGGCTTTTATTAAACTTATTAAGCACTTTTAATATATCCAGTAAATTTTAATTTCTGTAAATTTTCAACTTTTTCGTTTCAAAAATTTTTTTTTTCATTTGAAATACAACACTTTGAAACCAAATTTTCTACAAACCCCCCAAACGTACACTCCACTGCGCGACGGCACAACAAATTGCATTTGCAACACACAAAAGTGCCTCTACGCCGTTAAATTCCCGCCTGGCTATTAGTCAATTCGGTTGATCACAGCAAATTTTGTGGTGAGTTAACAAATTTTGATGGAAATTTACGCATTTACACGGCGACCAGTGACGCCGACAGACTAATTTCGACACAATTGCCACAGTGGCATGCAACGCGCATACACAAGGTCATGTACGCGTCATGACACTCACCGCAACGCGAACACGCGTGCAACATTTTAGCTCGAAAATTGGTGAACAATTTTAGCAGGAAAATATTTGAAAGCCACCGAGAGAGCGGCATTTTAATTAATGTCGTCAACAAGACCACAATAAATGCCGTAGTTGCAACAATCACAGCAACGGTAACTAAACGGATTGTGCATAACTGCATAAACCCCTGAAACATTTGCGATATTTA